GGCGCACACAGTATCTGAAGCAGAACAAGTTCATACTGCACGCCACGTCTGATCCGCTGCAGGTGGAGCCAGCTGATCCAGAGCCGGCCGGCTGAGTGACGAGCACACACCGAGTAGCATTCCAGTGAATCTGTGCCAAGATGTTACCCGTGACGACCACAGGTCAGAGTTTTACCACACAAAGCACAACAACTGCAAAGCAGATGTTAGAGCTACCATGCTAATGTTCTAACACAGCGTTGACAGTTACCCCTGGTATGACTGACAGGTAGGAAAAAAAGTGTGTGTTGAACACACAGCTGTCTCTGCTTATAATGCCACTGTGAAGAGTCAAAACAGAGTTCATCACTTCCTGTAAAGACAGCAAAGCAAAGTCAACATTTTCAAACGTTCATTGTGTGAGCAACAGCAGAGAAACGGGAACGCCCTGTGTGCTGCATCGGCCTGGTAGGGCCTCAACATCAACGTACACGACGACCACACACTGCCCCGCCCCCCACATACACCATGCCGGTGATTCATCACCGTTTCATCGTCTGATTTACTCCTGTAACAAAAACATCGTAAACACTGACCTTTCGATCATGGTCCCATTCTGGATCATCCACACGTCGCAGTAGGTTCTGGCCACCAGCATGGCAGCAATAAACATGAGGTAGCCCGCCTGTGGAGGAGAGGGGAGACAGCGCCCACAGACGGGTTAGTGTGTGAAAGATGTTTATGGTCCTACCTTTGACTCTGCTCGTATCTAATGAGCTGATGAGATAAGAGCAGCAGCAGCCATGTGGCTGCGACCTTGACCTGTGGAGTCATTGTTTCTGTGTCAAAGGGCTCTGCTGCAATCACAGTAACGCCAGTTTCCCAGTATCTTTGAACCATGGTAATGCTTGGCCCAGTCATCACTGGTCACATGAAAGGTCTCAGTGATTGGGGCTGTCACACAACTAGAATTACAATTCAATACCAATAACCATGAAAATGTCAGAGAGCAGCCAATCGAACACCACGGGGACCAGTACGTTTAAATGGGAGGACTGGAAACAGGTGCCTCAACATTAATGCTGACCAGAAGGAAGCAAAGATGAAGAGCTGGCATCACTACAACCTTATCATCAGGTCATTACTGTCCAAGTGTCATATTTACACACCTGCTGTGTTTATTTCACTGACAGTGATGTGAAGATGTGAACACAGCAACCTCACTGTGACACAAACCAAAGCACCTGCTGATCCAGAACTTTCCAGAGTACGCTTTGTGTTCTGGGATCCAGCAAGGTGCTATAGATATGTGAGGGTCTGCATGGGCCAGCAAGGTGCTATAGATATGTGAGGGTCTGCACGGGCCAGCAAGGTGCTATAGATATGTAGTACTCTTCTGCTAGCTTCTAGAGTAAAGGACACAGCGTGGACACCATGCATGAAGCCTTTAAACGCAGCATCCATGTAAGGGCCGTTTTTCCTCCTGGTAATCGTTTAACAGCGATCAGGAGAAAAGTACAGCATGTCTACACTGATGACCTGTCCACTGGAGTCGAACCAAAGCACATGTATGAAGAGAGCAGTGAGTGCAGGCGGTCGCTGGTTCAAGTCCACGCTAATCTCACCTCCATGCAGAAAACGCGAGGCACCAAGACCCGGAGGATCCGGAGGATCCGGAGGAAGAAGACTTTGTCCACAGCTGCGCGATCTTTCTTGCCATCCTTCTGCACGAAGAGGAACAGACGAGAATTAAATGCACCAAACTAAGTATTATGCAGACTTTGACTCCGGTCAGGGTGTTTCAACATACCTGTGTGTTCAGCACCAGGTCCGAGCTTCCTCTGAAAAACAAGCATTAAACGATAAACACGCTGTTAACTGTGGCCTCCGCTGCCATCCGGAGGCCCGTTTACAGGAGCCACACACGGGCTACA